ATTTCTCTGAAATTTCGAAGAGCAATCTACCTTTTGTAGTTTTGTAAAAACGATATACTTTTTTAAGCCTTGATTTTTCTTGGATACCGATTATAATGTTGAACCATTTCGACAGACATTTTTATTTTTCCAATATTTGTCATTACAATTTATTAAATTAGATTATTTACTGACGTTGCATGTGTCTTCTCGATAAGATTTTCTTCACGATCCTAAACCAGATCTTTCACGATCCAATCACAATACGTGACCACCGTTACTTATTCTTTCACGATCATTTTTCTCGATATACCGAATGACAGTCGTGAACAAATGCCACTGAAAGATATTTGATAGAAGTTGTGTTCATTATATGGTAATGATTGTTTATTGGTTGCTTGACATCCAGTTGGAACTATCCATCCATATTCAGGATCAAAATAATAAGTGAGGTGAATATTTATTACTTTGTACTTAAACAACATGCTGTTCAGGATAGTTATATTGCTATACATGTAGATCGCAAGGTATTAAAATGTTCACTTAAAATGGCTGTCATCCCATTCAGATACATTATTCTGACTGAGCTAACAAATCTTTCATCAAAGACAGATAGGTATATGCATGTTGAAACAAGGATCGAGGACGATGATGGTTCTTACAGATATTGATGTGTTTGTGGTCATCTAACGAAATGTTTTTAATTTTTGCATCCAAGAACATGTCTTCAAAGGTAAAACGAGAAGCATATCGGATAACTGTGAGTTCAATAACTACTTGACCAGGGCAATGAGCTGTCACATTTGCATGTTGGAATCCCGATTTTTGACTTTTTATTTACAAATCGATTTATCACATGTGCGTTTGAATAGATTAGAGCATTATATCCAATAGAAAAACGTCTATGTGAAAGAAAAAAGAAAATCAAGGAGAAACTAATTTTGGAGCGGCATGCGGATAACAAATTTGCAGAGGCAGTAATTTGTTTTTTATTGAAAAGTCAATATCTCCAAAATAGGAGCGGGACAATCCAAAAAAATAGGAATCAAATTGGTGTGGCCTAAAGAACCAACAAATTTAGATAGTCAGCAACATGATAAAGATTTTCTGAATAGGGATCAAGCTTTTAGCCACTATACTAGTTATTCAACTGTTCGAATTTAGCTGAATAGTCTCTTTGTGTACTTTCTCACCAAAATGCTCCGAGAAAATATTTTAGCTGATTCATAAAATCCCTTTGTTTTGAACGTCTGTTGAGAGAATCCATGCAGTAATATTCAATATTTGAGTATTAGAATGATAAAATTTTGACCTTACCTGACTGAACAGATTCTCCCAATATGTAAGTTTGATTTGAATTTCTATCAAGAGATAGAATCTATGGTAACCAATTTCTTCTGCGCCACTGAGGAGCAATCAAAATAATCTGATAACGGAACAGTCTCATATTTTGTAATATCTTTGTAAGTATACAAATCTGAGGAAAACACATAAGAATACATTTCCCCATGATCAATGCATCTAAATAAATTTTGATGTGGATCCAAGAGCAAAATCTTTGGTCCAAATATGCCAAAAATCTACCCGAGGTTTTTCCCAAATTTGTCTTACAATGTGTTCAAAGACTATTCTGTCTGTTGAATGTTTATTCGACTCAACTTGTCTGCTCAAATGTTCTGCTTCCTAAGAACCAGTGACTTTTTCAGAAAATGTTGTTAAATTACAGAGGCAAATATTGTCGACTTCAACAGTACTGAGCTGCACTTAATTGTTGTGCATGGTTAGTACTTATTGGTTTTTTTAGTTGCTTCATCAAATGTTTCACAATGAAAACACTGTCTTCACTTCTAGACAATTTATAATGCAAACCCATCTGATGGGAGTTCTTTGCATTCCAATATATTTTGTTTCCTATATACCCCAAACCAGTTTTGGAAAGATCTTGCCTAACTAAACGAAATAAACACTATACATTTTGTTCGTCCGAAGCGTTTACTAGATTTACATTCATCAGTAACGATCATACCTAGATATTTGAAAGTCAGGGACGTGTAAATACACTGTAAACTTAATTTTGGATAATAGTACAGATCAATTACTGTCTGAGTGTTTGTTATAATTGTCCCTCATGACTAAATTATTTCAGATGTAGAGTAAATGAAAGTTTTAGTCAATCTTTTCGAGAGTCGATGCCACTGCTGGTGGAAGTTTCCTCCAAGAGGGTATCACTAGTCAGAACTTCTGTGTTGACATGAATTATCATTGATATAGTCAAATATATAAATTTAACTGTTAACAAAACTTTGAATTTTTGGAAATACTAAGGATTTTCCACCCCTGGAATATATTACCTTAGCTATATTTGACAAAACCTTTCGGAATTTTGTGTCCTCATTGCTCTGTAACTTCCTACTTTATTTGGCCCTTTTTCGAGATCTATATAGATCTATATAAACCAGTTGTCAAAATACATAGTTATTCTGATAAACTGTGGTCGCTGACAAGCAGCAACTGCGGACAATTATTTTTGTGAAATTTTAGCACTAAAATCCAGTGCCATAGCTGTGCTTTGGAAAAATTAGTATTTGAAAATACGTTTTGGATAAAGTTAGAGTTATTCTCCAATCTTTTGCATTTAGTTGGCTTATTTATCTGTTCATCGTGTGCATTTTAAAATGCATTTTCTTCAAATATCCATTTATAAATTTCATATCTGTAACCATTTCTAATATTCAAATTTTCATTGTAACCAGTTATAAGCTAGGTGCAGTAACAAAAATAGTTAATACAATATAGTTACTGAACTTTTTCTATAACATCTTTTACTAAAGCGTTGTCAGTTTGTCTTCAACTTGGAAGTTTAAATACCCTTTGGGGTCTTCCGCCTCTCATTACTAAGGACCATTCATTTTTTGCAAAAGACATAATAGAAAAACAAAGGATAGGGGGTATTCATCGATGAAACAAAATCAGTACATGCACAGCCAAAAAATAAATAATACACAAAAAGCAAAGGAACAGCGCTTAGTATTGCTTTAAAATTTCTGAACATATTACTACGATGACTACCCCCAGTCAACTATCGTTCTTGTTTGGAAATGGACCCTATGTACTCATGGTAACCGTCTTGTCACTGTCGCTCCTTTGAACTTTAGAAAGCGTCACAATTATTTTGTCTACCCTTGTCTGTATATTTTACTTAATTTGTACGTTATCGAGAAAGTGTTCACTATATAATGTATGTACTAATAAACAACAACACAATTTGTTGGCGTCTATGTCAAATTTACTATCAACTACAAAAAACGATTTTGTTGACGTCTTTGTTAGATTTTTGTATGTTTGCTGTGAATTTTCTAGTCAGTTGTATTGTATGGGTCTGTGATATATTTTTACACAGTTTTGGCTGCTGGATCCCAATTTTTGTCACATTAACCTATTATGTCCGTTTGGTATTGCTCACCCAATTTTGTCAATACAACGGAACTATAAACAACTGCTATACAAGTCGGCGGTTTGGCTAGATATAAAACCAGGTTTAACCCACCATCTTCTGCGGAAAGCATGTACCAAGTCAGGAATGTGACAGTTGTTTTCCATTCCTTCCGTTGGTTGATAAGGTGTAACGTTTGAATTTGTCAATTTTGTTTTGCATTCCCCTTATCTGAATTTACTTTGGAGTTTAGTATTTTTGTTATACCTTTTTCACATGTGATTTTCTAATGACGCTACTGCTTTAGTTATATTCTGAGACCTTTTAGGTCTTACATTAAATACTAGTCTACTTTCACTTCCGTTACTTCATTCACATTACTATAATCACATATGTTCAGAAATTCCGTGTTCTGATTGTTATTGTTTGTGCGTACTCATGTTTGGAATGGAACAAATCGAACAGTGTAAGGAACGTTCGAAAATTTTGAAATTTCTGCTTTTCCTCACACATCAGTCCATTGTTTGAAAATGAAAGTTAATTTCAGAGACATATCGTTGTTGAAACTCCGACACGTTATCGAAAATATCATACGCACGAGATAATTTTATGCAAAGCACAATCGTAAATTTTAAGTAATCGTGAAACGATATTTAGGAAACATAATTATTTTTGAAAACGACAAGGACTTTAATAGAAAAGCTATTAAAATCCTGTTTTTTTTAACTTAAATATGTTTTAGAGTCTGGGCTTATAACGCCCTTTATTTCAATACATTCAACTTTAAATTGTACTTTTTAGCTATCTTCTGATGTCGTGTACTTGTTATTCCCAGTATTGAAAGTTCTTTCTATCCCGGAAATCAAGACAATCTTTCCGTTCTCTTATGTAATCTCAAAGCCTTGTTTTCCATGTTTTCTATTAAAATCGTCGGTTTTGCTTCCACATCAAACAAGCAAGTCTTCTGCGGAAGGCCAGTGTGACGTATTGGATTTTTCTCTCCCTCTTTTTGCGTTTACGGCATTCCTTTTCTTCTCTACTGGTTGTTGAGTGACCCTCGGCACATGCAAATCAGGCGGGACATTTGGCGATAGTATGGTTTTATGCTATGGAGTCGCTTCATCTAGATCTTAGTTTTGCTCAGCTATTGGGGCCATTGCCGAGTCTGTCTCTTTTGACAGAGCTCTTGGGATTATATAAGTGTCTCTGGTAAATACGGATGTGATATTGAAAAATATAATTCTGACGTATTTATTATCATTCATTTAAGTATTCAATGTATTATGTATATAATTTCAACAATTGTCATTTATTAAGTAAAGTTAAATGTAGACAATAGGTCTGAAGTGGCAATCTTACAAGCTTTAGATTTCTTCAAGTTGTCAAAACTAAGGTGAAATATAAGCTAAAACAGACAAAATAGTAACTATAAGTACAATCCTTATTCTAGAAAATTTGAAGGCTGTGAGTTAATGCAAACTAGCCAAAATATATTTTAGAAATAACCTGGATGCTTTAACTTTGTGTAAATAGGGTAAATAAATGTATCTTTTAATCAGACTTGTAATCATACACTTGTACATTTCAGAACGGCTGGTGCTATTCCCGGGATAGTTGTTGGTTGCATCATCTTTGGAGTTATAGTTTTTGTTGTTGTTGTGATAGTATGCAAGAAAACGAAAACCAGTGGGAATAGAGGCACCGTTGTGCGTCCAACCGCAACCATAACTACTGTACATGCTCCACGTATGTAATACAGTAACTTATAGAATTGAGAATGGAAACGGGGAATGTGTCGAAGAGACAACAACACGACCAAAGATCAGAAAACAGCATAAGGCAAACAATGGATCTTTTAGCTAGCCCCTAAACAATAATGTTTAGCAAAAAGAACGCCACACTTAACTCCGAAACATATAAATGAACCAAAATTAAAAAAACACACAAGACTAACAAAGGCTTTAGGTTCCTGCCTTGGGACAGGCGCATAGATGCGGCGGGATTAAACATTTTTTTGAGATCTCCCCCTATACCTCTAGCCAATGTGGAATAAACAATCACACAGCACTACGCACAGCAAAACTCAGTTTAAAAGTCCCAGTCCGATGTTAGAATAGGCAACAAAAGAAACTAAGAAAGATGACAATGATCAACACAAATCAACAAAGGACTACTAGAAGTAACTGACATGCCAGCTCCAGACCTCAATTAAACTGGTCAAAAGAATATGTCTTGTTCAAATGAAAATCAAGCACAATCCCTCCCGTTAGGTGTTCAGTATCATGCCATCATAAATTATCCGAGAAGAACATAACCCCTTATCATACCAACAACTGGTTCTATAATAAATGTGTTTATTTCCGATGCAAAGACCCTATGAGTGAATCAATATTAATTTTTAAATGCCATCTCTAATGACTTGACAACAGTATCGGAACTATATCCTTTCTGCATAAGTCTGTTTAAAGGTTTTGTTAGCTTTTGAGGTGAATGACGACATTTTTGTGCTTTGTATAGAATATTTTCATAAAAGATGTGAAATACCTGAACGTATAAGATGTCTGCACGTTGATTTATATTTACGAATGATGTCCTTGTACTGATGATAAAATTTAGTAAAAGTTTTGACAAGTTTGTGATATCCAACACCTTGGTGTAATAATTTTTCAGTAATACAAAGATTTCGGTTGTTAAAATCAAATACGTTGTTACATACACGAGCGAATCCAATACGTAGAGATATATAAACACCATAAGATGGCGCCAAGGGAACGTCAACATCTAACCAGAGGCTCTATAGAGCCTGTGTCGCTCACCTAGGTCTATGTGCATCTTCATCATTGTAGACTTCTGTTTACAGTTTCTCTCTATCTTAATTAGTGGTTGCCCGAAAAACAAACGAGAGTAACAAAAATCGTCATTTAAGGGCAATAACTCCTATCTACTAACTTTTTTTGGCAGAATTTATTTAACCTGATTGTAGATTTTGTCTTGCTGAAAATTTTTGGTATTTAAAGTTTACATGTATCTTTTATGGTTATCAACATAATTGGCAAAAACGCCAAAAATTGGTAAAAATGGTTATTAAAAAGCAATAACTTCAATAACCAGCCGACTGAAGAATTCGGCTATTAGACTTATTGGTAGATCTTGTCCTGCTAATTACTTATGCTGTTTAAAGTTTCTATTTATCTATTGTAGTTTTTAAGATTTTAAGCAAAAACGCGGGAAAAATGGTAAAAATTGTTATTTCAGGGCAATAACTCTAATAAGGAGTCGATTGATGATTTCCGCTATCTTTGATTTATTTGAAGATCTTGTTTTGCTGATCAGTTTTGTTGTTTAAAGTTTCTGTTTATCTATTATAGTTTTCAAGGCAAAATAGAAAAAAGTAGTAAAATTTGTCATTTTAGGGCAATAACTCCAATAAGAAATTGTCTGACAATTTTGACGTAAATACATAATAGGTAGAGCTCAACATTCTGAAATGTTTTGCCCCGTCAGATTGTCTTTATTTATAGCGGTTTTCAAAATAACAGACAAAACTTACATTATACCCCTATGTTCTATTACTAGCCATGTCGGCCATCTTGATTGGCAAGCGGGGTCATCGGACACATTTTTAAAACTAGATACTCTAATGATGATTGAGGCCAAGTTTGGTTAAATTTGGCACAGTAGTTTCAGTTTTAAGATGATCTTTGTAAAAGTTAACCGACGACGGACGACGACGTCGACAGACAACGGGCACCAAATGATGGATAATAAACAAGAGGAAATGAAAAACCTCTTTGAGCGTAAATTTTAGTATTAAGCTTCCTGTTAAAGATAAAGATATCAAGATCCAGGATTAACATTATTCGCAACAAACTAAATTAAATATCTTTGTACACTGGACGGATGCCAGTGCCAATGCTGATGTTTAAATATTTTTAGATCTTTAAATATATCTGAAGAATTTTACGCGAAAACCAGTTCTTCAACATTTTGTTTTGATGTTACTATGTTTTTTTAAGAATTATTTGTCTGTTGCACTTGTATAGAAGGTTTCGAGAAAAAAAAAATGATCACATTCAAATGAGTTGGATTAGTTACCATTTAATTTATCTTCATTTTATTAAGAAATGATTCAAATTAATGTCTTTAATTTTAGTCGAGTCAAAAGAATTTTTATTTCTTCTTAGCATAATTAGTTTTCTACTTTCTATTTTTGCATTTCAGCTCCAGGACCATCATTTCCAAATCAGCCAGCCGGGATGAGTTATCCCCCACCACCAGGACAGAATATGGCATACCCGCCTCCTCAGGGACAGTTTGGTTACCCACAACCTCCTCCTCCCCAAGGACAATTTGGTTACTCACAGCCTCCTCCTCCACCAGCTTACGGAGGTTACGGGGCACCACCACCGAAGTATTGAATATGTTCCTCAATCTATTTTAAAAGGCTAATTTTCGGATTAATATTCACGGAGTTTAGACATGTAATATCAAATTACGTATTTCAAATGATTACTGTTCTATAAACGAATAAAAAAAACTTGACTAACCATATCACTACAGATGGTAACGTTCACGATATAAGGAATAGTCACCAAATGATGTAAATAAATGATAATTCTTTTCTGACAATATTTTATAGAATGATTCCTTGCAACTAATTGTTCCTAGAGGAACACGCCTTTTGTTGAGTTATTTTTATATAGCCAGTACTTCGATACTGGCATGACAATATGGATAATTTAGGAATGTCCTAATGCAAAGCTTTGATTCCTTGTCCGGCTTTGGCTTTTTACCGTTTGTTCTTTTTGGTTTTGTTCATCTTTTCAACGTTTGTATTACATTAAGGATTTTCAAACATTTTGGCCTCGATCATCACTGAAAAGATCCTAATTGTCGAAATGCGCATCTAAAATTTTTACCGTACATTTTATTGAAAAAGATCGTAGTTTTATGAATAAAATTAGATGTTGTATGATTGCCAATGAGACAACTATCCACCAAAGTTCAAATAAAGTGGATGTAAGCAATTATAGGTAACCATACAGACTTTAACAATGAGAAAAACCCATACTTTATAGTCGGCTATAAAAGGCCACGACATGAAAAATATGAATCAATGCAATTGAGCAAACTAACGGCCTAATTTATAACAAAATAATTTACCAAAAAAATATGACATTAACCAAGGACAAACAATGTACTACAGGCTCCTGACTTGGGACAGGCACATAAAGAATGTGGCGGGGTTAAACATATTTGTGAGCGCTCACCCCTAACCTGGGACAGTGGTGTTACAGCACAACATAAGAACAAACTATAAAAATCAGTTCAAAATGGCTTAACTCATCAGATCGATTCAAAGCAGAAAAACATCTAACAGAAACACAGACTAGACGTGGCAGGGTATTTATACATTCCTAACAAACAAAAAAAGACACAAAGTACAGATCTGAGATTACTCGCAGTTACTGACAGCTAGTTCAAAGACAACAACAACTAATAAAAGACATATTGTATTTAAGACTAAAATGTATTCATTTTCGCATATATATTTAAATTTAGCCGAACAATTTATGCTGAAACTTGATCAAAACAGATGATAAGTTTTCTGCACATGCAATGATAAATTGTTTCTAAATTCCATCAATTGATGGAATCAGGCAATCTACTAAGCAAGTAATCTATTTAAGGATTATGTATACAGGCACTTGTCTCTAAAAAATCATCTATATACTTTAATATAACACAATAGGTGATTTTTTTTCTGTGATTTAGTGCTAGCAATGATTTCGTAATAACAAGTTTTTAAATAAAGATATTAGTTAAAACAAGAAAAAATATGGACATATTCAAGTACATCTTCTAGGGTGTGCTTGACTTTAGTGACTCAGCATGAGATGTTTTGGATTGTGAAGTTTTTTGATGACTTTGAAAATAGTAAACACTAGCACACCATGGACAAGCAAGTGCGTAACCTATGTTTAAAATGTTATGACAAAAATCTCTGTTTTAAAGCCTATCGTTTTTCTGTAAAAATCTTGGGTTGATTTGCCACAAAATTCCCATTTTCTATTGATTGCCAAAAAAAAAAATCAATATTGTTGCTGTAAACGACGTTTCCATTTGGTATATGTTCAGACTAGCATGTCTCTTTTCTTGAGTTTTCTTGATGTTTTGATATAATTGCACTTTGAAAATTTCGTAATACACAGGCCTACAGAAGGGGTCATAAACCGTGTATCAGTTTCGTTGTGTTTACGTTCGTTACACGAAATACACTTTGCATCCATGTACTGACCATTTAAATACGTCTTCTTCTAATACGTAATACAAATATTTAAACTTATTGAATATTTTTAGCCTTTTGTATCACTGTGACGTATTTAAATTCAAAAGAAACCATATACCTATGTACATGAATGTCCAAAATGACTGACCTAAACTGGATTCTCATTATTGCTATCTGTATACTAAATGAAGGTAGAACATTTTATTTATTCTTATTTAAAGTTAATCATTATTTGAAGTTTTATGTAATGAAAAAAACAAAATTACCACCGGAGTTCTGGCTCTGAAAAGTTAACACAGAAAAGGGTTTTATATAAAGCATAAATTTGATTTTGAATTTTCAAAATTTTCAACTGGATTTGTAGTCTTGCTCAAACTTTTGTTTTCAGTGTAATATTATAATTTGAGTTTGTCTATCCGTCAGTTGTCTTTTTTGTCCTGGCTTTGTCAGTCTTTTCAAGAAGTTGTTTGATTGCCTCATGTTTCCCCCTCTAGGAAATACAGGTAAGACATAGACCCAACTGGTAAAAAAAGGAATTAAAAATCTTCATCTACGTACATATACACCAACTATACAAATTAAAAGACACATGCCAGACCTACGTATTCCAATAGACAAGGAAATGACGCATACAATCTAAAACAATTAATTCAAACTATTTTGACTCTAACACATACAAGGTAATCAAAAGTATAAAAGTTTTTAGTTGTTAGTTAACTGTCGTTGTGACGTATTTATATCCATTTTATCATGTTATTTATAAAACTTAATAATAAAACCAGTAGACAACAACTATAGGCATTGTTGATTTGACCCGATTAAATAAAGGATTAAAGAAAACAATTCGGCTTTGTTAACCATTACTTAGTTAATACATTAAAATGCCTTGTTTAAATACTTTAAACTAAAATATTTTAATGAAAACTGAAGTAAAAAAAAAAACATGTGAACTTTCAGTGTCCACCATCGACACATACAAAAAGAACATAAATGTCAATTTTACAAACTCTTTAATTTAAATTGAATTAACCTCTAAATAATACCGTGGATTTAAAAAAAAACTAGCTCTTACTTTCTTCGGAATATGTGACCCAGCTTTTACTTCTCATATTATTTTGGACTTTTACTTAAAATTCACAATTTTGACATTTTGGGATTAAAATTCATTGTGTTTTATATATATATATATATATATATTGCATGCACACGTATTAAAATTGCGGTTTTTATCCAACGCAATCATAGGTTTGAACGTTGTTTTCAATTTAGACTTGTTTATATTTTTTCGTTTGGGCTTGTATTATATTTGCCTTCGGGTTTATATGATCCGTTCATCCTATTTTGACTCCTCAAAATTCAAGGGTCTATCCTAAATTGAGGAAAATTGTATGGCTTTCCAAATACCGTTTCGATTCCCAACATCACTGAAGAGATATTAATTATCGAAATCCGGATATGGTGTACAAAAACCTTTGCACCTTTTGTTTGCGGTATACCATCTTTTCCGCAAGTTTATTGTTTTCTGTTTAGTATTAAATTTATAATTAAGATGCATTTATTACATCGGTGATCCGTTTATTTGGCAATCGACAATGGCAGTCAGCAGTGTTTAAGAACATTTGTTTTTCGACCTGTTAGTCAAATGCGTTTTGTTAAAATATACTTTTTCATTTTTTTGGTCTTTGTGAAAATGTTGTTTGTGCTATATTTAGACCCCTCTAACAAGAAATTTGTTTTGCATGCACACGTATAAAAATTGCGGTTTTTATCCAACGCAATCATAGGTTTGAACGTTGTTTTCAATTTAGACTTCATGCTGTATTAAGACCTATCTAACAAGAAATTTGTTTTGCATGCACACGTATAAAAATTGCGGTTTTATCCAACGCAATCATAGGTTTGAACGTTGTTTTCAATTTAGACTTGTTTATATTTTTTTCGTTTGGGCTTGTATTATATTTGCCTTCGGGTTTATATGACCCGTTCATCCTATTTTGACTCCTCAAAATTCAAGAGTCTATCCCAAATTGAGGTAAATTATGTGGCCTTCCAATAACCGTTTCGATTCCTAACATCACTGAAGAGACATTAATTGTTGAAATCCGGATATGGTGTACAAATTTTTGCACCTCATTTTTGCGGTAACCATCTTTTCCGCAAGTTTATTGTTTTCTGTTTAGTAAAAAATTAATTATCAGATCCATTTTGTTACATCTTGTGATCCGTTTTTTTGGCAATCGCCAATGGCAGTCAGCAGGGTTAAAGAACATTTGTTGTTCGACCTGTTAGTCAAATGCGTTTTGTTAAAATATACTTTTTCACTTTTTTGGTCTTTTGGAAAATGTTGTTTGTGCTGTATTTAGACCCCTCTAACAAGAAATTTGTTTTGCATGCACACGTATAAAAATTGCGGTTTTATCCAACGCAATCATAGTTTTGAACGTTGTTTTCAATTTAGACTTGTATATATATAAGTCTAGAGATTTGCACAACGATACTAATATAAGATGGTATTATACGAAGATGTTGTTATTAAATTGTGTTGACAAATATTTCGGCTTAACAAATAGCCTTCTGCAGTGTCAATAATTTTAACAATACTGATTATATGTATAAAAATAGCTCAGTAATACAGGTAAGTTTTGGTCTATTGATTTAATCCAAAATCCTGAACATCATAATATAAAACAAAACTCAATACTCAAATATACGTGATTGTGTATATTTACATCCCAAAATGAGTGAAAATAAAACTTAGTATTTTTTATTGATGCAGTTTGGATGATGTACATTTAGTTCCTTTATCCAAAAGCTTTCCCGAACCTGTCGCTGGGCATCACTCCAGTGAATGTTCTGTTCAATCACTAGGATCTTCATGCGGTTAAAGTCATCAAGTTTGTGACCAGACTGTCTGAAATGCTGAGAAACTGGGAGAAGTGGCTTCTTAGAGATATCACTCCTATGGCCATTGATGCGTTTGTGGAAAGGCTGCTTTGACTCATCAACATATTGGAGGCCACAAACTGAACATTCTAGAATGTAAATAACATTCATACTTTTGCAGTTAACATTGCAAAATATCCTATAGTTATTTTCGGTTGCCTTACTGTGAAAAGTTGATGAGTAATACATCTGTAGGCAGCATTTGCAGCGTTTTTCATCACACGAACGACATTCTCCAGAAGTACTTCTATTATCAGACACTTCAGCCCGCACCAGCAGGTTCCGCAGACTATTGGGTTGCCTAAGAGCTATCATGGGAGGCTCGGGAAAAATCTTGGATAGTTTGGAATTCTTTTCAACTGTTTTCCAATGCTCACGAATGACACCGAAGCTGTTTTTGAGAGATGGGTGGTAAGTAAGAACATATGGAGTCCTTTTCTTTTTCTTTTTATATTTGTATTCTAACTGTTTATACCTTGGAATAGTTTCCGCTTACTGAAAACCTTTTTGGATAGTTCTGTGTTTGTAGCCCCTTCTCTTCAAGCGGGTTTCGAGTTGACGTAGTTGTTTTTAGTTGTTTCTGTGTTGGAACATATTCGCTTGACTCTGAGTGCCTGACTGTACGGGATGCTCTTAGTACAATGAGCAGGATGGCAACTTTTAGGGGACAGATATTGGTGAGTGTCAGTAGGCTTAGAATATAGATCAGTGAATATGATGCCATCTGTGAGCGAGCTGGAGGTATCGAGGAAGGTGATTTTGGATTTAGATTTCTCATGAGTAGATTTAATACTTGGATGTATGTTGTTGGCATGAGTGATGAATGTATCTAAATCCTCGTCACTTTTATTCCATTTCATATCCACATCATCTATAAATCTAAACCAGGAAAGCGGTTTTTCGATGGAAGATTCAAGGAGTTGTTTTTCTAATTTGCCCATAAATATGTTGGCATATGATGGAGCCATTTTGGTGCCCATAACAGTTCCATTAACTTGCAGATAATGATCTCCATCAAAAGTGAATATCAAGGACTATAACTATGAACATTTATTTCCATCAGAGAAGCATTTGAAACCTCGCGGAATTTAATTGCTTATGAGTATAATTGATATTATTCGAAGACTTTTGAATAACTATAGACATACAAAGAATGTTAAATTGCACTATGCATGTTGAAGTCAATTTTGATACATTATTACAATATTTACATGATTCTTGTAAATTTAGCATAGAGGGACAAAAATGCATTAGTCTTATTTGAAAGGTTATATACATATTTTACTTATGATAGAATCATGATTTCCCTTCTTTTGAAACAACAAAAAAATTACAATATTTAGTCTTCGACAATTTACACATTCATAAATTTGCTGAATTACTCCAGTGAAATGAGTGAACTTTAAAAAAAATATTCTCTTTAAAATTATTAAAACATGAATGAAGGAATAAGCATTATAAATCAAACTTGAATTTGATATTTTAAAATCAGTAAAACAAATAAATAAGATCAGCGGTCCAATGTCCTCTACCTCTATGAACATATTTTAACTGACCAAAGGCAATAACTAAAAAAAAGTTGGTTGGCATTCTTTTAAGACCTTGTTTGTGTAAACCTTTGATATTGGCATCATAAAAATCGGACAAAAACGTAGGCGTGAGAGTGCATAAAATGCAATGTTCAATATAAAGTTAATTAATAAGCACTGATTTTCAAACTCATAGCAGACATTGCTAAAGTAAACCATCGATATAAATTTTTAAACAATCCGACAAGAAATGTAGGTGTGAGAACGTTTGCAATGCAATTTTCCATACACTAAATGTTTCCAATGGGTATAACACCTTCAAAAATAGTTGTCTGAGACATTGCTGATAACAACCTTTGATACATATGTCATAAAAATCTGGCAAGAATTGTACTGCAATGAAATGTTCCTATAGAAGTTACATGTCCAAGGAACATAACTCCTGTTAAAATAAATGATCAATGACTATTCTCAAACTCGTCCCAGGCATTGCTGATATAAGCCTGCACTGAAAATATCCGATTCAATTGCAAATTTTGAACATTTGTTGTGACTGATAAACTGTCTACTTATCACATTGTCATGTACTTTGGATACGATACAGAAGATGTAGTAACTCTTAGTCATGAAGAAAAAAATAATCATTATTCGTTATATATTTATGTTGGTTTCAAATAAAATTATATATTTAATACATGTGATTTCAGTGATGTATATACTGTTACGTATGATATTTTAAGGCGTTTGATGCACTTTTTTTTCATATATGCTCAGTTGATTACATAAAGAGTTGTTATTTTGTCTGAATATAATGTAGTTTTTGTTATACCAGTTTAAGTTAAGTATTAATGAAAAATTATGTACGCTTGAAAACAGAACATATACCACCACTTTGAACACGTTCGGCAACTGTTCTGAAAGTGAACATCAGTTGTTCTTAATCTTAACACTTTGGTTTTGTTCATGTTCTGTGTGTTCAAAAAGTCGTACAGGACTATTGAACGCGTCTACGTGTTAACTTTATTAACATTAGGACATATTTAATAGTTGAACACTAAGTTCTTATTTAATAAATCCCTTTCCTGGCGAACGAACTAAAGGCATCACCGAAGGCAGGCCTCTTGGATTCGTGTACATGGTCATGTTACTTTTTAATTCAGGAAAGTAGAAGATAACAATGAAACGGCTCAAATTCGAGTGATTTTTTTTTTTCAAAATCTGCCGCCATTTTCGTCAATGAGGGACAAATCATTACGAAACGTATCAGTCGTACATAAAAGTATTTCGATGTTTAATTATTTTTCTTTAAAGAGAAAACACCATAAGCAAATCGGTTATTAATTCTTACATGTCTCAAAGCTTGTAAAAGTATTCGATTTTTCGCGAACGGGGGCTGCTCTCCATGATTCGTTGTGTTTGTTGACTTCGACAAGGGGCGTGGTTTAAATACTTTGGTTTTTGTCGGCAAGAGCTCGACTGAACATACGATTAAACCCGATACTGTTCACATTATTTCGAGTGTCAAATTCCTTTTTAGGGAAGTCTAAATAAAACTAACCAATCGTGTTCCTTTTGTGTAAAATTACGTCAGACTTGTGAAAAAAAATTCTCCGCTGAAACTATAAAGCAAAATTTTACAAAAGACTTTCTTTTTATATTTGTATATAGTTACACCAGTCACAACCAGCTACTTTATTATGATCCTGATTATGTTTTACATTAGTATATGGTTACACCAGTCACAGCCAGCTACTTAATCATGATTATGATTATGTTTTATATTCGTATATAGTTATACCAGTCCCAGCCAGCTACTTTATCAAGATCATTATTATGTTTCATATTCGTATATAGTTATACCAGTCACAGCCAGCTACTTTATCAAGATCATTATTATGTTTCATATTCGTATATAGTTATACCAGTCACAGCCAGCTACATTATCATGATTATGATTATGTTTCATAGTCGTATATAGTTAAACCAGTCACAGCTAGCTACTTTATCAAGAATATGATTATGTTTTATATTCGTATATAGTTATACCAGTCACAGCCAGCTACTTTATCATGATTATGATTATGTTTTATATTCGTATATATCAATACCAGTCACAGCCAGCTACTTTATCATGACTATGATTATGTTTTATATTCGTATATGGTTATACCAGTCCCAGCCAGCTACTTTATCAAGATCATTATTATGTTTCATATTCGTATATAGTTACACCAGTCACAGCTAGCTACTTTATCAAGATCATAATTATGTTTTATATTCGTATATAGTTATACTATTAGACATTTGCGGAAACTAGGTCTATGCCTAGGATTACAATTAGACTTACGATTACAGTTGACGAAAAACAAGGGGTCATCTCAAAATACAAAAAGGTAACAACAGATATACCTAGTTAAAACAAATGATTTTTTTTTCGTTATGTAAATAATTCATTCCAAAGACACACCAATGCAGCGCAATTGCCACACATAGTTAATTGTCACAACAGATTTGAATCGGTGTATTGGATATGTCACCAAAAAATCTTTGTATTTTAATTATTTTCCGATGGCGTGTTCAAGCTTTACTCTATAGAGTGCAATAAGTCTATTTAATTTTTTAGGCTTACTCTACTTATTCTGGTGTTTTCGAACAATCTGTTGTCTTGTATCAGGCGTCAATACTGAATGTCTGTTCAGATATATTTTGTCGCCGAACAAAAGATGCGGAGAACCATACGCGTTCCCCGAGAAACAAAGTACTTCTCTTTATAAAATGTATAACCAAAATTGTATCTTACCTTATTTTAAAAATCAGAAGAAATTTCGTTCAGAGGGTACTCTACAAACAGTGCACTTGAAAATAACGGGAAAATGCGATAAGCAAGTAACACAATATAATTATTAAGCCCGCCGTAGAGCAGTGCTTTTTAATTTTTTATGTCCTTCATTATTACGTTTTCACTTTTGAATCCGAAACTGCTCCCTAACTGTCTTAAACAGTGTTTGATTGTTTTTAACAATTTCTTCTCGTCTGATATACCTTTGCACCTTTTATCCCTTTGAATCAACGGAAAAAAATGCGGATAAACTTTGTGTGATCGTCAGAAGTGCACTCGAAAGTACATTTTTTAGAAAATTGTACCGGTCTCGGCTCATGAGTTACTGCTCATGCCTCGAGCAGACTAGACCATCCATGTGCATGGGAAAGAAGGAATTATCTACACCGTAAAAAAAATCGTCTATACTCACATGATTCCCAAGATCTCTATAAAAATTGCATAAAAACAATTAACTCAGAACCCGGTAGTTATTTTTACCTGCGTCGCTGGAGGCAAAAACAGGTCTAGTAACGGCTCGTCTCTGTCCGTCCGTCCGTTCGTCCGAAAGACCTTGCATATAAAACTTTTCTCAAAGCTTTTCTGGCCTCTATCGAAGGGAATGATTGTATATTTGGTCTGCAGCTTAAAAATTATGAGTTGCAGCGAGCGTGTATGATATTTTTACATCTGCCGTGCAGCCACTTCCTGTTGCCGATAGTTTGAAATTTGACAAGACTCATTGCACGAGATAAATTTTCGTCAAAGTTTTTTTGGCTTGTATGGAAGGGAATGATTTGATACAACTTGATAATTATGAGTTGCAGCGTGTAAGCAAATTTTAAGTCGACCATGAAGCCACTTCCTGTTTTCCAATAGTTTGAAATTTTACAACACTCATTATTAAGGAAAATGCTAGTCAAAAGTTTTCTTGTCTTCAATGAAAGGGAATGGTCAGGTACGCTTCAAAATACAAACAACATCAATCAATTACATGCAGTGACGCAGGATCAGACCTGGTATTGGTCTTATTTAAAAAATTGAAAAGAAAGATAGTAAAATTCTAACTATTTGAGTACAGTCACCTACTATACATTTCTATAAGAGTCTGACACAAAGATGTTCATTGATAACGGTATTGTATTTTTTTTTCGAATATTTTTGATTTTTTTATACCAAAAACGTGGACAAAAGTGTTTGCCCAATTCAGAAAAAAATAAAAGATAATAAATATATACCAATCGGCATGTATCATGCCATGAAAAATAAATAGTTCTTAAGCACCCAACCTTTGTATCCTCTCATTTTCTTACAAAAAATATGGAAAATGTATGTCTTAGCATAAACATTAAATATTGTCTACATTGTCTATCATGCTCCTTTGTTGATCGCCCTTTCTTTTCACATAGCCAACGACAATACGATTGTTTTTATGTCTCACGTAAAATTTATTAAATGATGTTTTTCCATTCTATCATACTCCGTACATTAACAGCATGTTGAACCTGGATAACACCATGTGCAATAATTAATGTGTACACGTTACTTCATATATTTCTTTAAAAAAAACCCGTTGTTCAACTATAGAAAAAAACATCATAGGAGTTAGACTGCTTTTGAACGAAAGTTTATATTTGCGTTTTGAGACGACCCAAGATTTAAATGCTACCTGAGAGTGTAATTGTAATCCTAATCGTAGGTGTATGACAGTTTCCGCAAATGTCTATTTACAGCTAGCTACTTTATCATGATTATGATTATGTTTTATATTCATATATATCAATACCAGTCACAGCCAGCTACTTTATCATGACTATGATTATGTTTTATATTACCAGTCCCAGCCACTACTTTATCAAGATCATTATTATGTTTCATATTCGTATATAGTTATACCAATCACAGCCAGCTACATTATCATGATTATGATTATGTTTCATATTCGTATATAGTTACACCAGTCACAGTTAGCTACTTTATCATGACTATGACTATGTTTTATATTCTTATATAGTTATACCAGTCACAGCCGGCTACTGTTATTACAGCTCATACTACTCCTACTACTATTGTGATTCCTCTTCTTCTTCTTTGTGAGTATATTTAAGATGGTTATACAATATTTTGTTTCGAATATCTATGTATCGGTTAGTCTATGAGAAGGTATGTACTATGCAATTAAGAGCGAGGGGCTTGCACCGAGCACTTAATTTCATAGTATATACCTTTTCATAGACTATCCAATTTAGCATATATTTACAACACAAGTAATTTTTTGATTTGTCTATTGATAGTTTATTTTGTCTGACTACTTGTATCACAGGTGTTTGTAAAACGGAGTTAATCAACTAAGTTTTATGTTTTGTAAATTTACTCACTAGTATCATAGCTATCATATTTGTTCAATTTATGACAGTAATTTACCAGATCACGGTTTAAAAGTCAATCTCACATACAAATATGTAATTTTAAAATATACTTGACTCAAGAATGAAAAGAGGGTAGCTCCTGGTGTAAATAGATATAAGAAGCTGGTATGCGTGCCAATGAGACAACTCTCCATCCAAGTCAAAATTTATAAAAGTAAACCATTATAGGTCAAAGTACGGTCTTCAACACGGATACTTGGCTCACACCGAACAGCAAGCTATAAAGGGCCCCAAAAATTACTAGTGTAAAACCATTCAAACGGGAAAACCAACGGTCTAATCTATATAAAAACGCAAAAGGAGAAACACTTATGAACCACATCAACAAACGACAACTAATGAACATCAGATTCCTGACTTAGGACAGGTGCAAACAATTGCAGCGGGTTTAAACGTTTTAATGGTACCAAACCTTCACCCTTATCTGAAACAATAGTGTAACATCACAACATAGAAAGACACACTATAAAATATCAATTGAAATGGCTTAACTCAATCAAAAGACATATTAACACCAGTGAACATACACTGAACAAATAAATTTGATCTATGATACAATATAAATACAAAATAAGTATGTAAATCGATATATAGCGGTGTCTTTCTACATGTACATGGTAAGATGACAAAATCAATTGCCTCAAAACAGGCATAATAATATAATTTAATTGCAGTAGGAGCTTTACATGATCTGAACAAAAGTTTAATTTCACAGTAAAACTAAAGCTATAATAAATTTGAAAAATATAGATATATGTGCCATATATAGTTTAGCGGTTATGCATTATAAAGCAACTACCAATAGATCAATTTGAAAGATTATAGATTTTTTTTCATTTCAAAGTAAAAACGAAAAGCTTTATCAGAATATAGATATAGGTGGCAGTTAATCAACTAAGTTTTATGACAAATATGTCGTTGTTCCAGTAGATAAAACCTCCAATAATATTGTCTTCATATGTAAAAACCATTATTTGGAATGTCTCACAAAAGAGCTTGGAATAAACAGCAAAACTTGTAATCCTACATTTTCCTTAACATCATTTACAAAGGATGACATTTTAAAAAATCACAAAACTGTCCTTCTTTCTTTTGGTATTAACATCAAAGAAGACGAGGAAAATCTACCGTCATTATACTGGATACCAAAACTTCACAAAACTCCTTATAAAGAACGATACATGGCTGGATCATCAAGATGTTCGACTAAACATTTTTTCTAAAGTGCTAACTACTATTCTTTCGACAGTAAAAGATGGCCTTCAGAAATATTGTGATGAGATATATTCAACCAGTGGTGTTAATCAGATGTGGATTCTTAAAAATTCTAAAGATCTACTGCTAAATCTTAGATCACAATCTCTGCAATTTTGCAGCAATATTAAGACCTTTGATTTTCCTACGCTTTACACCACTGTTCCCCATGCTCAATTGAAAGATCGACTTCACCATCTCATTAAACAGGGCTTTTTCCATAAAAATGGTAATCGTAGATATAAATTTCTTGTTTTGGGTCAAAATAATTCTTATTTTGTGAAGAACCACACTGATTCTAACAGAAAATATACACGGAAGATGATATTATCAAAATGCTGGACTTTTTGGTCGACAATATATTTGTTGTGTTTGGAGGATTGATATTTCAACAGACAGTCGGTATTCCAATGGGTAATAATTGTGCACCCTTACTGGCCGATTTGTTTTTGTACTCGTATGAAGCAGAATTCATTCAGAACCTTCTTAAAGACAAAAAGAAAAAGCAACTTGCGAAATTCTTTAATTTTACTTTCAGATATATTGATGATGTCCCATCACTGAATTACCCATATTTCAGTCAGTACTTGCATCTCATATATCCCAGTGAACTTGAAATTAAGGATACCACTGATACTAGAAGGACTGCTTCATATCTTGATCTTTTCCCCAATATTGACACAGATGGACGACTTCAGACTAAAATCTATGACAAACGGGATGATTTCAACTTCCCAATTATCAATTTCCCATTTCTCAGCAGTAACATACCCTCTGCCCCGTCGTATGGTGTTTACATATCTCAATTGATATGTTATGGTCGTGCATGTTTACACTATACGGACTTCATATACAGGAGTGTGCTCCTTACGCAAAAACTGCTCAACAGAGTTATGAGGAGGAAAGATTAAAAATGACACCCCGTAAATTATTTTGGACACCATCACGAATTGGTTGATCTATACGATGTGTCTGTGTCTAAACTGACTAACGACATTTTTACCACATCTTAGACTGTGGTTTACCATCCTCGTCGTTTGGTCTGCATAGTACCGAACGTGACCTATTCCCGAATATTACTGTTTTGCCGAGTGTGAATTCGCATTGCTATACGACGTGTCTCGGTATTTATATATCCTACATTCATGTATTTAGCTATGATGTTTCTTTTGTAAGTCCAGTTAGGTATTTTATTATGTCTTATGTTCGCTTTTGGAGACGACGTAGTTCGGTATTTATGTATCCCGCTTTCGGGCATTTTGTTGTTACTTTCTTATACGTGTGGGTCTGGTGGGTCATTTTGTGCTGAGTTGTTGTCTGTTTATTTCGTTTGTGGTTTGAATTCTGTATTTTCGGTACATTTCACATATGTCTTATTTGTCAGTATAGTCGAGTTACTCGTGGTTCGTATACAGGCTTTTTGTTTTATGTTATTTGTTTTCATGTGTGTTAACTGTTTGGTCTTTCATGATCTTGCCTTGTATTACAGTTATTTTATTTTTATATATGTATGTAAAAGTTAAGATAAAAAAATCAGCAATTTCATTTTTATGATTTTAAGTTGAAAGCAACTATATGCACAGGATATTTTTGTTTATACACAGATCTGATTTGGAAGAAAAACCGACATGATTAGAAAATACAAATAATAGCACCATTACAAACACAATTCCATTTTAATATTCTTGTCATGGTTAGAAAATACATAAAATAACACCATTACAAACTCAATCCCAATTTAATATTCTTGTACGTGTCTATAAATAAAACAAATCTATTTTATAATTTTAGAAATTAACCTGTGATAATATAAAAGTCACAAAAAATACGTCACTTTTTGTGACGTTGATCCGTTCATGTGACGTGGAGTTTATATTTCGTTTGTGATGTCCTGGTGTGCTGTCGTAAATTAATGAGAGGTGTCCGTTGTTATTCTGTGGTTTACATGTTGTAATGTACTATTATATTATTTATTTATGTATTTCTCTGCGCTGAATGTTCTTGTGTTTGTTTGTACTGTATTCCTGTCACGTAGTGTTGTCATTTTAGCGGTATTTTTAACATTGCCATATAAGCGGGAGGTTTGGCTAGCCACAAAACCAGGTTCAACCCACCATTTTTTCTTATAATGTCCTATACCAAGTCAGGAATATGGCAGTTGTTATCTACAGTCCGTTTCTATGTATGTTGGCGTTTGATTTTGTTGTAGTTCAGTATTTCTGTTGTTCCGTTGTTTTCGTCTTATAGTTGATGTGTCTCCCTCGGTTTTAGTTTGTTACTCGGATTTGGTTTTGCTTAATCGAATTATGACTATTGAACACCGGTAAACTACTGTTACCTTTATTTATGTTTTGTAAATTTGCTCACTAGTATCATAGCTATCATATTGTTCAATTTGTGACAGTGATTTGACAGATCATGAGTTTATAAATGCAGTAAACACGAATTTGGAAAATAGCGGTTAAAAAGTCAATCGCAAATAAAAATAAGTAATTTTTAAAGATCCTTGACTCCAGAATGAAAAAAATGGTAGCTGCTGGTGTAAGTATGTATATCGAAATATAGCGGTGTCATTCTACATGTACATTCAATTGCAGGAGGAGCTTTACATGATTTGAACATAAGTTCAATTTCATAGTAAAACTAAAGCCTTAATAAATTTGAAAAATATAGATATATGTGCTATATATAGTTTAGCGGTTAGGCATTATAAAGCAACTACCAATAGATCAATTTGAATGATTATGGATTTTTTTTTCATTTCAAAGTAAAAACGAAAAGCTTTATCGGAATATAGACATAGGTGGCACATTCCCTTCAGACATTATCACGGTTTTTAGATTTATGATGAAATGGATCAAGTTTCTTAAGAAAGTTAAGAAAAACCATCATCGAGTTGCCTTAATTTCCCTTCACAAGGTTTCATAGTACATACTTTTTTGTGTACAAAGTAATTGCATGGATGATAAATTACCACAATTAGAAGATAGCGTTGTACTATAATCAAGGTATTAAGGACCATATTTGTTATTCTTTATTTGAATGATAGAAACTTGCAATTGTAAAAAATGATTTTTAAAACCAAAGATATTAAAAATAGGATATCTAAAAATCAATGTGAAAACTAATTACAAACATTTCTTTTTCATTTGGGACACATCATTTAATTGTGGCAATTTTTGTTTTTAATCTCTAGATTACGATACAATGAAATCTTACCCTTGTGGTCATTCATGCATAGTTACTTAGTACACGGAAAAGGTATGTACTATGAAATTTAGAACGCAAATTCAAGCAATTTGATTGAACGAGAAGTTGTAAGTATGTGCTAATTTAGAATAGCATCGCATACAGTAGTGGGGGATTTTGATAGAGAACGTTTATTAAAGAATCAAAATTTTCGAACCTCCAGCACAGCAGGTTAAATGTCCTAATTGGATCGCTTTTGAACACGCAAACTGGTTCAGTGCAGTCCCGATTTTTTTCTCGAGTAAAACTATATGCGATCAATTGTATATTTTTGAATCTCAAGAAGAGACTGCATGATTTTATAATGTTAAATATACTTACCATGAAATTACTATTTATATATAATAAATATGTTTTGTTTATAACATGTTCTCATCGCAATTATATAGGTGATTAAAGTTAAAAACATCCATAAGATGTATTTACCTTACGTCATAATTTATCTGTGTAAATACAAAGTCCTCTCCAATGTTCTAATTATTATGAGGGAAATGAATTTTAACCTTAAAATGATTTATGAGATCTTGTTTTGATAGCCTATCATTAAAAAATAATGGCATTATGTTTTATTTCCTTTGAATTCAAATCAGTGCATCTTCTTGACAAATGCAACAATTTTGTAAAACACCGTCTCATTCAATTTTTATAATGATTTAAGGTCTTGTTCTAAATCCCATTCGGTTAATACCCTTAGACCCAATTTTCAACAGGTTGCAAAAACAGCATGTATCCTATAATGATCTCTATTGTGCTTTACTGTAATAAAGAACCAACAAATGTAGATAGTCAGCAACATGATAAAGATTTGCTGAATAGGGATCAAGCTTTTAGCCGCTATACTAGTTATTCAACTGTTCGAATTAGCTGAATAGTATCTTTGTGTCCCTTTTTGGTCAAGATGCACTGAGAAAATGTTTTAGCTGATTGAGAAAGTCCTCTTGTTTTTAACTTCTGTTGAGAGAATCCATGCAGTAAGATTCAACATATGAGTATTAGAGTGAAAATATTTTGTACTTACCTGACTCAAAAAATTCTCCCAATTTGTAAGTTTGCTTTGAATTTCGATCAAGAGATAGAATCTATGGTAATCAATTTCTCCTGCGCCACTGAGGAGCAATAAAAATAATCTGATAACAGAACATTCTCATATTGTGTAATATCTTTGATATTGTACAAATCGGAGAAAAAACACATAAGTATACATTATTTCATATCTGTAACCATTTCCAATTTCCAATTATTCATTGTAACCAGAAATAAACTGATGCTGTAACAAAATCAGTTGATACAATTTTTTTCTATAACATCAATTACTAAAGCGTTGTCAATTTGTCTTTGACTTGCGAGTTTGAATATCCTTTGGTATCTTCCGCCTCTTATTACTAAAGACCATTCAATTTTTGAAAATTACATAGCATTCTTTCATAATTTCTGAACATATTACTTACGGTACGATTACTACCCCCAGTCATCTATCGTTCCTGTTTCGAAATCGAAATGAACCCAAGAACTCATTGTGGCAGTCTTGTCGCTGTCATTCCTTGAAATTTTAGAAACCGTACATATTTTACTTAATTTGTACTTTATCGAGAAAATGTTTACTATATAATGTATGTACTATGAACAACAACAAAATTTTGTTGGCGTCTGTGTCAAATTTACTATCAACTACAAAAACGATTTTGTTGACGTCTTTGTTAGATTGATTTGTAAGTTTGTTTGAATGTTTTAGTTTGTTGTGTTGTGTAGGTCTGGGATGTATGTTTTCACAATTTGGGCTGCTGGATCCCAAAAATTGTCATATTAACCTATTATGTCAGTTTTGGTTGCTCGCCCAATTTTGTCAGCATAATGGAAATATGAACAACAGTCGTACAAGTAGGCGGTTTAGCTAGCTATAAAACCAGGTTTAACCTACAATTTCTTCGGAAAAAGCCTGTACCAAGTCAGGAATGTGACAGTTGTTTTTTAATTCGTTCCATTGGTTGATAAGGTGTAACGTTTGATTTTGTCAGTTTTTTGGGAATTTTTGAAATTTTTCTTGGGGTTCGGTATTTTTGTTATACCTTTTCACATGTGATTTCCTAGTGACACTGTTGCTTTAGTTATAATCTGAGACCTTTTTACTCCGGATCTACTTGATCCTTGCTCTGAAAACCGCTGCAAAGGTTTTTTTAAGCCCTACCCCGGATATTAGAAAACATTGGCATTAACACCTCATATATTTGAGGTAAACTATATCTGCATCGTTTGCGTATTAAAATGCAAAAAGGCACCAGTACGCCCAAAGTGATTTTTGTTCTTTTTTTGCTGGCATAGCAAAACCAAATATCTCTTACGATTTGACAAAGGAATCTTTTTTAAATTCATCTTTCTTTATAAAAAAACAAGAGACGGACAACTTATGGCTTGCTGTATATGCTAAATTGAAAAATATTATACCTGTTTTAATGGTTTAGAATTTAACAGTTTATTGTTATCCAAATTTAAAAAGCTTTAGGACAGACAAAAATAAAACACTTATTGTACCATCTTTATAAAACTGAGAACCTCTATGAATTTATATTCCTCCAAGAGTTTTCTTAAATTATAATTAATCTGGCCTGTCACATACGTTGACAACCTGCCATTTTTTTTATTCTTAAACAGTGTTAGTCTTAAAAATTGGACAAAAAAAGTAAGTGATTGATTGAACCTCTTTAAATTTGTATTCTGCTCAATTCTCAGAAATTTGTGTAGTAGCATTTTTTACTCATTTAGTAATTAACCAGTGAAATTTCCAAGTAACAACATTACAATTGTCTGGACTGATTCCAAAACACTTTCTACATTCATACATAAGTATTGACTTAACTCCTTACGTTCGCCACAATTTGCGTATATGTCAAAATCTTTATTTTTTTAAGATACCAAAAACTTGGTTAACACATGTACGTTAGGTCCTATACGGGGTATTCAATAATAGTCTGCGTTCTCTTACGAAACGTAATACACATTACTACAATCAGATATGGGCAGATATTCCTTAGTCTGATTGTTATTGTTTGTACATATTCATGTTTGAAACGGAACAAATCAAAGAGAGTAACGAGCGTTCGAAAATTTTGAAATTGCTGCTTTTCCTCACACACCAGTTCATTGTTTGAAAATGAAAGTTAATTTCAGAGACATCGTCGTTGAAACTCCGACACGTTATCGAAAATATAATACGCACCAGATAATTTTATGCAAAGCACTATTGTAAATTTCAAGTAATCTTGCAACGATATTTAGGAAACATAATAATTTTTGAAAACAATAAGGACTTAAATAGAAAAACTATTAAAATCCTATTTTTTTCTTAACTTAAATATGTTTTAGAGTCAGGGCTTATCACGCCCATTATTTCAATACATTCAACTTTAAATTGTACTTTTAAGCTATCTTCTGATGTCATTTACTCGTTGTTCTCAGTATTCAAAGTTCTTTCCATCCCGGAAATCAAGACAAACTTTCCGTTCTCTTGTGTAATCTCAACGCCTAGTTTTCCATTTTTTCTATTATAATCGTCGGTTTTGCTTTCACGTCAAACAAGCAAGTCTTTTGTGGAAGGCCAGCGTGAGGTATTGGATTTTCTCTCTCACTCTTTTTCCGTTTACGGCATTCCTTTTCTTGTTTACTGGTTATCGAGTGACCCTCGGCAACTGCAAAGCAGGCGGGACATTTGGCAATAGTATGTTTTTTGCGATGGAGGCGCTCCATCTAGATCTTAGTTTTGCTCGGCAGTTAGGGCCATAGCCGAGTCTGTCTCTTTTGACCGAGCTCTTGGAATTGTATTGGTGTCTCTGGTTGATACGGATGTGATATTGAAAAAGCCATATGCTTTTCTCAATCAACAAGTTTTTAATACAACAATTATATTGAGTTCTTGTAAACTTAAAAAGTTCGGTGCACTAAAATATATCACACGCGTTTACATTGACTCAAATTCAAAGTGTAGACTAACCGGCAGAAATCAATATGTTACTGTATTGTTACTTTACTTAAAAAAAGATTTCAACTGCAACTAGGATTAACATTCCATAATTTTGACTTATGTCTTATCATTCATTTAACTATTCCATGTATTATGTGTATATGGTTTTTCAACAAATGTGACTTATTAAGTCAAGTTAAATGTAGACAATAGGTCTGACTGGAGTGGCCTGCTTGCAAGCTTAAGATTTCTACAAACGAGAGTGAAATACAAGCTAAAACAGACAAAATAGAAATTAGAAGTACAATCCTTATTCTAGAAAATTTGAAGGCTGTGAATTAATGCAAATCAGCAAAAAATATTTTAGAAATTACCTGGATGCTTTCATTTTGTGTAAATAGGGCAAATAAAGGTATCTTTTTTTATCAGACTTGTAATCATTCACTTGTACATTTCAGTCCGACTGGTGCTATTCCCGGGATAGTTGTTGGTTGCATCATCTTTGGAGTTATAGTTTTTGTTGTTGTTATGATAGTATGCAAGCAAACGAAAACCAGTGGGAATAGAGGAACCGTTGTGCGTCCAACCGCAACCATAACTACTGTCCAGGCTCAACGTATGTAACACAGTAACTTATAGATTGAGAATCGAAACGGGGTACCGGTATGTGTCAAAGAGACAATAACCCAACCAAAGAATAGAAACAGTCTAAGGCCACCAAATGGGTCTTCAAAGCAGCGAGAAAATCCCGCACCCGGAGGCGGGATTCAGCTGTCCCCTAAACAATTATGTATACTAGTTCAGTGAAAAGGACGCCACACAAAACTCCGAAACATATAAATGACCCAAATTAGAAAAAAAAAAACACAAGACTAACAAAGGCTAGAGGTGCCTGACTTGGGACAGGCGCATAAATGCTGCGGAGTTTATCATGTTTTTTTTTATGTCTCAACCCCCCCACCCCCCACGCACAGTAAAACTCAGTTTAAAAGTCCCAGTCCGATGTTAGAATAGGCAACAGAAGAAAGTAAGCAAGAAGACAATGATCACCATAAATTAAAAAAAAGGACTGCTAGCAGTGACTGCCATGGCAGCTCCAGACTTCAATTTATCTGATCATAAGATAAAGTCTTCATCATATGAAAATTAAGCACAATCCTTCCCGTAAGGGGTTTAGTATCATGCCATCATACATTATCCGAGAAGAACATAACCCGTATCATGCCTTTATAGCTAGCTGTTCGGTGTGAGCCAAGGCTCCGTGTTGAATGCCGTTCTCTGACCTATAATTGTTAACTTTTTATTTATTGGGGCTTGAATGGAGAGTTGTCTCATTGGCACTCATACCACATCTTCTTACTTATATCAACAACTGGTTTTAGAAAAAATGTGTTTATTTCCGATGTAAAGACTCTATGAGTGCATCAATATGAATTCCAAAAAATGCCAACTTTAATGACTTGACAACAGTATCGTAACTATATCTCTTCTGAATAATTATGTTTCAAGGTTTGGTTAGCTTTTGAGGTGAATGGCGACATTTTTGTGCTTTGTATAGAGTATTACCATAAACGATGGGATGTGAAATACCTGAACGTATGAGATGTCTGCATGTTGATTTATATTTACGAATGATGTCCTTGTACAGCTGATAAAGTTTAGTAAAAGTTTTGAAAAGTTTGTAATATCGAAAACCCTGGTGTAAAAAATTTTCAGTCTTACGGAGATTTCTTTCGTTAAAATAAAATACGTTGATGCATACACGAGCGAATCGAACAAGTTAAGATATGTAAACATCATAAGATGGCGCCAAGGGAACATCACCATCTAAAAATGGGTAATTAACAATAGGAAATGAAATATCCTCTCTCTTATCTTAAATTTTAGTATTAAGCTTCCTGTTAAAGATATTTATAGTTATCAAAATCCAGGATTAACATTATTCGCAACAAACTAAACTGACTATCATGTACACTGGACCGATGCCAATGCCAAAGCTGATGGGTTTGTGTTGCTCAGTCTTTAGTTTTTTATGTTGTGTTTTGTGTACTATTGTTTGTATGTTGGTCTTTTTCTTTTTTAAATGTGGCGTTCTCAGTTTATTTTCGACTTATGAGTTTGAATGTCCCTTTGGTATCTTTCGCCTCTCTTTTAAATAATTTTAAATCTTATATCTGAAGGATTTTACGCAAAAAAAGTTCTTAAACATTTTGTTTTGATGTTGCTGTGTTTTTTGTTTCGTTTTTTTTAAATCAAATTCAAATGAGTTGGATAAGATACCATTTGATTTATCTTTATAATTATATTAAGTAATGGTTCAGATTAATGTCTTTAAATTTAGTCAAGTCAAATGAATTTTTATTTCTTCTTAACATAATTAGTTTCCTACTTTCTATTTTTATATTTCAGCTCCAGGGCCATCGTTTCCAAATCAGCCAGCCGGTATGAGTTATCCCCCACCACCAGGACAGAATATGGCATACCCTCCTCCTTCTCAGGGACAGTTTGGTTACCCACAACCACCTCCTCCCCAAGGACAATTTGGTTACTCACAGCCTCCTCCTCCACCAGCTTACGGAGGTTACGGGGCACCACCACCGAAATATTGATTATATTCCTCGATCTATTTTCAAAGGCTAACTTTCGGATTAATATTCACAGAGTATAGACTTGTATAAATATCAAATTACAATTTTCAAAAAATTACTATTCTCTAAACGTATAAAAAAACTTGACTAAAAAAAGGGACGAAAGATACCAGAGGGACAGTCAAACTCACAGATCGAAAACAAACTGACAACGCCATGGCCAAAATTAAAAGACAAACAGACAAATAATAGTACAGATGACACAACAAAGAAAACTAAAGACTAAGCAACACGAACCCCACCAAAAACTAGGGGTGATCTCAGGTGCTCCGGAAAGGTAAGCAGATCCTGCTCCATATGTGGCACCCGTCGTGTTGCTTATGTTATTACAAATCCGGTAAATAGTCAAATTCGGTAAGACTAACTATATCACTACATATTGTAACGTTCATGGTGAAAAGGATAACAATTAATGATCAATTTCTGTTTTGCTGATAATATTTCATAGAAAGATTTATTGCAATTTACTGTTCTTAGAGGAACACGCCTTTTGGTGAATTATTTATATTTTTTCCTCAATTCAAACCTCTAAATTGCACCTACGAAAGTCTTGTGTTGAGGTATATCGGTTGGCAACGATTTAAACTTTAAAATGCAAATGTCAAAATAAATTGACCATAAATTAAACTAGAGGCTCTCAAGAGCCTGTGTCGCTCACCTGTATTTACTGATGCTTTGGAAATCATGTAAAATAAGGTTAAAATCATAATTAATAGTATTAGATATTAGATATTATAATGATATCTAAGATAATAACAAAAAACTGCAAAATTTTTGTAAAATTACTAACTCAGGGGCAGCAACCGAACAACAGGTTGTCAGATTTGTCTGAAAATTTCAGGGCAGATAGATCTTGACCTGATAATCAGATTTAACCTATGTCAGATTTACTCTAAATGCTTTGGTTTCAGAGATATAAGCCAAAATCTACATTTTACACCTATGTTCTATTTTTAACCATGACGGCCATCTTGGATGGTTGGCCGGGTCACCGGATACATTTTTTAAACTAGATACCCCAATGATGATTGTGGCCAAGTTTGGTTTAATTTGGCCCAGTAGTTTCAGAGGAGAAGATTTTTGTAAAAGTTAACGACGACGACGGACGACGACGACGACGACGACGACGACGGACGATCGACGCCAAGTGATGAGAAAAGCTCACTTGGCCCAACAAGTGAGTAGAAACTGTACGCACACAAAAAACAAACACAAAATAAAATCGAATGTCATACTTTTGTTTGAAGTAATCACATCACACACTTTATACTTTTGTATTTACATGAGCAACACGATGGGTGCCACACGTGATGCAGGATTTGGTTACCCTTCGGGAGAACCTGAGATCAATCCGGTTTTTGTTGGGGTTCGTTTTGCTCAGTCTTTAGTTTTTTTATGTTGTGATTTGTATACTGTTGTTTGTCGTTTGTTCATCTTCGTGTTTTGCTGTGGCATTGTCAGTTTGTTTAAGACTAATGAGTTTGAATGTTCCTTTGGTATCTCTTGCCTCTCTCTTGGTAGGCAATTGTTTGTTAGTTTAATGTATATCTTTGTATTCATGTATTTCCAACACAAGTCTCATATTGATGGAGTATGTTAATGTGATCTGTGTATGATAATTAATATAGCTCTCCAACTGTTTCGGTTCTTATACAACAGTGATTTTCCAATGTTCGGCTTTGAGCATTCCTGTATACAAAACACAACATAAAAACTAAAGACTGTGCTAAACGAAATCAACCAAAAACCGGGGTGATGTCATGTGCTCCGGAATGGTAAGCAGATCCTACTCCACATTTGACATTCGTCGTGGTACTTCAATAGAATATGTTGATGATTTATATCAAGTGATGATTAGGCATCACGCAATAGCGGATTGGTAATTGACTCATATCTAACTCTAAGACATCATCAAGTTAATAAACCATCAGTCATGTAAATTGACTTACCCTTAAACTTGCATGACCGAATGTGAAATTTTGAAATTGAAAAAAGTTTATCATGGCGGAGAATAGACATGACTTTTACTGGTATAAACATTACAGACATTCAAAAAATTAAACACCAAAGCAAGAGCAACACGAACCCCTTTTAAATAAAAACAGGGGTGATCCCAGGTGCTCCGGAAGGACAAGCAGATCCTGCTCAACATGTGACAACTGTCGTATTAATTATCCTCATTACAACATCAGGTGGCACGGATTTAATTCCTGATGCGCGTACCCCACGATGGCCATGTTAGTTATGGATTAAATCTGAAACTAGGAAACACACAAATGATATCTTATAAGTTGACACGGAATACATTCTGACTTGAATTCTTGTATGGACTCATTAAAAATCTATTGGAATTGCATCCAATGTGGGATGCCAAAATCTTCTTCATTTATATTTAATGTGTCTTCCATAGAAACTAATCGAATTTCAAGTCTTATCAAACGAGACAAAAAAAAAATCAAAGTCATGGTGGTGACTTAATTGCAATATCGATAGACACTATCTCCGATGAAATCTCAGAATTACACACAAAATGAGAATGGATAGGCTGAAGTGAACGAAACAAACTCCACACACGTACTTCTTGGTTACTACTACAGACCCCCTTTAGACATGGGTTCATCACTAAAAGAAATAAATGCATCCCTAAATCGCACATATGGGAATTCAAAAGCTGCTATAACTGTGGAGGGAGCTTTCAACCTTGGTTATATGGACTGGCAAATACCATCAGTAATTTCTGGAATTATAGATAATTACCAACACAAAATCCTTATTGATATTATGATAACTGACCACTCTCTAGATCAAATCGTAGACAAACCAAACAAGAGGTGAAACAATACTAGATTTAATTTAAACAAATGCACCAAACATAACAGATAAACTGGATTCGTATATTCACTGAATGCACCATACCGTTGAAAAGAAACTAACGAGCAACTAAACAAAATCCAGCAACTACATTAAGCAAACTTGAAAACATACAAAAAGACACACAACTACTAGCAGGAAAGATCAAAACAATTTCTATGACTGGCTTTTCAAGATTACCATATAAAACCATCACTACTAATATAAATACCCCCATCCCCCCATCCCCCCCCCCAAAAAAAACCAACAACAACAACAAATAACATATATAATCAGATCACAGACCACCTAGAATACAAAAAAAATAAATAATCCACAACTAAGGTACAAACATAGGAACAAATCATTGCAAACAAACATGCGCTCGTCTTATTTGACATTATATAGCAGACAATACCAAAGACCTTTAAAAACTTATTCGCGTATATCAAAAGGATGAGAAATAATATATGTAGCTGCACTTAAAATAGACATCGTGCTCATAATGATCACCAAGGATAGGGCAAACATTCTACATGAGCAATTTCAAAAAGCATGCACCACTAAATCATCAGCAAGCCCGATACCAGTAAAGAATCTATCATTAGATGACTCAGCCTTGGCAGCAAGCCCGATACCAGTAAAGAATCTATCATCAGATGGCTCAGCCTCGGCAGTATGAAAACTGAACATTTTATTAACAGATGTTTGGGTGGGTATGGATTTAAAAAAGGTTTCACTAAGAAGAAAAAAAATCCTGCAGGGGTTTCAAATTTCGCGTCAGGAAATTCGTTAGACATCAATCGCAAGGAATATCCAATCATCTAAAGTAATTCAGAACTGGTATTGACTTTTTCTAATGCAGAATAAGTATATATGGTAAGCATGAATAATGAATCATGGTTTGATAAAGATTTTCAACAAAAAGTGAGTTGCATTTTTTAAATCCTTCAGTATAATACAGCAAAAGCAAATATCAAGGGGGAAAAATCTAAAAATTATCACAAAATTTGAAGCCCTGGAAATTTGAATAGATAATGGATTATATTTTTTGATATAATAAAAATAGAAATTTTCAACTTCCTTTTAAATAATATTTGAACATTCTATGACAAAACATGAAAGATTATTTAAATATATTTAATTCATACTACAAGATCTACATTGAAACAACATATGAAAAACTGTTTATCGATGCATCTAAATTTCATGTAATAACAGAGAAAATTCTACTGATTTAAGGATATGTTTTCCCCATTACATATGCATGTACCAAACATAGGAACCAAAGTCACATAACTGAAATAGAATTGAAATTAGAATAGAAAACTGCAGTTTTAAACAAAATGTATGATTCCAAAAAAAAAAAAACATCATTAAAGTTCAAACGATCAAACATTCCTAGCCTAACGTAAAAGTGATATCTTATATATTATATTGAATGGTATCTTCTACTTAATCTATCATGCTTATGAAATTATGTCTAAACTGATAAAATAAATATTTTAGGCGATGACAAATACTGCTCGATCCCATTCTAATTAAATTTCCTTGAAACAGGCTACTCTTAACATTAAGGTTCTAGAAAACGCCGCACTTCACTTTGTGTCACATGAACTTTTGGTCATTTATTGCACTTGACCGTTACCGAATAAGAAATTCATTTAACATAATACAAATATTGGATTTCAATCACTAAAAAGGCAAACGATTATCATAGAGTTAAAATACCTGTATTGATAATTAACATATTGTAAGGCATTCTATCATTGCGTATCCTTACTTCATATTGTGTATGGAAATATTTGTTGTCTATACGACTTGTATATGAAGTTGAGATTAATTACTATAGTCTTACTTCTGAGTTTCTGAATGTAACACTAGACACAGCTATTTTGTATTGAAATGTCAAAGTGTGTTTTTATCTCCAGTTAATTTAGTTGTTTCGTCAACGCAATTAGGTTCTTCTAATTCGATTTCGTCATCATCAATGGTGCCCACTTTCCTTTGACGTATTATGCAAATAAGAATTCCAGCCATTACGGATACTATCAGCAGAAAAGCAGACACAGCTAACAGAACGTTGGAAGGCTGGTTGTCAACATCAGGTTTTATAGTTGTATTATTACCTGTGCAAAACATAATATTTATCAAAGTGTGACTGTAATCTTTCAAATTTTACAATTTTCATAAAATTTCCAGACATCGTGAATTTTCCAGTACAATTAATAGCTTAAACGAAGAGTCAACACCATCGAATTTGTTTTCTAATAATGCAATTTTGAATCTAGTCTGCATTGCAATATATCTTACTTGAACAAAATTTAGATAAACAGTTCACATTAACGATGTACATACAGTGGGTTTATTTATATGATAGTTACAAATACTTTTAACAAAATTGCCAATGCTCATGAAATAATGTTAAAATGTGCCATGAATATATTGTCTTTTTTTTGTAAATGTTTTGTCTGTGTAATGGCATATTTCTACAAAAATGTTCTGTAAAAACGTAAAAATAGAATATCTTACCTGCCATGAGGAATATCTACATTAACCAATTACATTTCGTAGTAAGGTTAATTAGGATAAACAACTGCTCCCCGACTTGAAAAGTCTTTATAGAATGTATGACACTTGATCAACTTTGTCGCCGAAAACTCCTCTGTATCGCCTGAAAACAATTATTTCCTCTGGATTTGTATTCTTATTGTGATATGACATAAATTGCTACAAACAAATTCACTATAAGACATTACTACAGTGCAAGAAAGATTGAAGTAGTTTGAAGTATTTTATATCTGCCATGTTTGTCACTTACTTACCAAAGCAATATTAAATTTAACATTGAGACTGAAAACTCGTTGTAAAAGTTGATATGTATTCAATATAAGATTGTTTTAGTTTGATTACATTGACATCGAAGTAATGAAAGTTAATAACGAAGATGGATAAATATATGCAATACTGATTCACTTATATAGAAAAAAAAACATAAAGTAGATTTTTATATAAAACAAAATCAGAGATAATATGAGATGCAAATAGCCGGACAGCTGTTCGGTCGTCATAAACAACACAATTACACATAAAATGGATGCAATCAAGGCTACTTCAGTATGATAATTTAGATTTTATCAAATTTTTGGTACAAATAAGAATTTAATAGATATCAATTCAAATACAGACTAGCTTCAAAATTGCAGTATTAGAAAACCTTATATATATATGAAATGATTAGCCTTTTTATGTTGTTAAGTCTTTGACAGAAAAAAAATCCAAAGAAACATACACTGTAGTGAACTTCCATTCAACAGATATTTGAATTAACATTGTAGAGAGGGGTATACATGTATGTCAGAAGCCGCCTGTCGTTGGTTGCCGTGTGCAATAGAAAAATAACGGTGCCAATGAGACAAATATCCGCCAAAGATCAAAGCAAGAGGATGTAATCAACTGTTATAATTCACCGTAAGGCCTTAGACAATGTGTAAACCAATACATAATTGTTTCTCGTTTAATGCTAGAAGTAGTAGTTTAACACAAAATTTGAATATGAAAATGTCGTCGGTGAAAACAATTAAAAAAATAAATTGGGATTATTAACATTAAGCGAATTGGTAAAACTAACAATTTTTCGAAATTTTGATACAAAATGATAATTTGTTTCCAACAAGATTGCACACGCTGAAATGTCTCGCCTGATTTACTGACCATTGATTTTATGTTGATAGTCCTACATATAAAGTTTTCCTTCAAGTATCACATAAACTTAACATGATCAAAGAAAATGAATTCAAGGTGAGATAAACCAAGCCAGAAATACATGTAAACCCTAAAATCATTCCATACACCACATATAGTTGACCTATTGCTTATAGTATACACGAAACAGACCAAACCATGAAAACTTTATGTTGAGCAAAGAACAATGAAAATGAGGTCAAGGTCAGATGAACCCTGCCAGACAGACATGTACACCTTACAATTATTCTATGCTTTAAAAATAGTTGACCTATTGCATATAGTATCTAAGAAACAAACTTAACCAGAAAACCTTAACATTGACCAATGAACCATGAAAATAAGGTCAAGGTCAGATGATAACTGCCAGACAGGCATATACACCTTACAATCATTCCACACACCAAATATAGTTGACCAATTGCTCATAGTTTAAGAAAAACAGACCAAAACACAAAAACTTAACATTGAGCAATGAACCGTAAAACTGAGGGCAGATCAAATAAAACCTGCCGGACAGACATGTACATCGTAAAATATTTTCATACACCAAATATAGTTGACCTATTGCATACAGTATTAGAAAAACAGACCAAAACACAAAAACTTAACTTTAACCACCGAACCATGTAAATGAGGTCAAGGTCAAATGACACCTGCCAGTTGGACATGTACACCTTACAATCATTCCATACACTACATATAGTAGACTTATTGCTTATAGTATCTGAGATATGGACTTGACCACGAAAACAACCTTGTTCACTGATCCATGAAATGAGGTCGAGATCACGTGAAAACTGTCTGACAGGCATGAGGATCTTGTAAGGTACGCACATACCAAATATAGTTATCCTACTACTCATAATAAGAGAGAAATTAAGAATACTAAAAATCTTAACTTTTTTTTAAGTAGTCACTGAACCATGAAAATGAGGTCAAGGACAATGGACATATGACAGACGGAAACTTCATAACATAAGGCATCTATATACAAAGAATGAAGGATTCAGGACTTCTACCTTCTGAAATATTAAGCTTTTAATAAGTTTGTTAACGCCGCCGCCGCCAGATCACTATCCCTATGTCTCGCTTTCTGCGACAGAAGTCGCAGGCTCGACAAAAAGTAGAACAACACAAATAAGATAATGTTGAGATAAGTTTAAAAATTGATGTTGGTTTAAAACTTTCGAAGTGAACTCACTTACTTGAGCTATTTTTTTAGTTAGTTATTGACTCGTTTATAAGTGAATATGTCTTGGCAGTCCACTCTCACCTCAGAATACAAACATTTAGACAACCACGGAATACATCAAGATATTTCTTAGATACTTTACAGAAAATCATAAATGAGCGGAGGAAATATGTAAGATTTACTGCATAGCGATAACGAGAAACAAACTTGCCGAAACAGAAGGTGAAGTAGTACACATAAGAAAAGTTACCTCAAGAAAAATACGTCATAACTGTTGAAATATAAGAGTAAACACTTCAAGTACAAAGAAAATGTTTATGATCTTCACACAGCACAAGAAAAAAAATCAGTTAATATCATACAAAGAAAGGATATGATATATAATGTTATGACATAAAATCCCTATACACGCACTTGCATATCGCTAGTATTGTAGTTCTTCATCTAAAAGGTCACAGTGGGGCCTTTAACTTTAACACGGTACAAAAATTCACACCTAACAGCAAGTAAAGATCGGATCCTAACACCAGTTTGAAAGGACTTCTTTGGTAGATGTCGATCAAGCTACATGTGATGCCTAGTTAAGTCTCATATGTCACATACAAGCTCTATACAGAGATTTTGAATTTGTCAGTTATAAAACTACGGTTATATCAAAGATATTTCAATAAAATCCTTTAGAAACAATTAATATTTTGATCGAACTATGATTCAAAGATGATAGTTCAACCGATCAGTTTCATCCTTAAACATTTTCAACATTTTTAAAATATCATGAACGTATACTATTCATCAGTTTAAAGCAACATAGTCAGATTGATTTTTGTTAAAATTAAAGCCGACAATTAGAAACTCGTTATAAAAGATGTCAAATGATAATTCAACACCAAGACACGAAACTCTTCAACTCTGCAAAATTGGTATCACTGATTCTGGAATCCTTATGAAATAAAATTGAATATTTTTTAACAATTTTCCTTTACGCGTAATTTGTTAAACGACAAAATATATTTCCGTAGCGTGCTGTGTCACTCAGTACAGAACTATTAAACATAATATTTTAGATTGACATCTTACCAGTTACTATCTTGTCGTCATTAGTATATGTATTCATATCTAAGCACCTGTTATTATCTCACAAAATTTAAATTTGAATAATCTCCCTTTGCAAATTTTTTAAACGTAACTTTACAAATTTTCAGATAACTATTTTACAATATAATGATACGTTATACCTGAAATATATGTTAACATTGATTAGAAGACAACATGTTCGTTTGGAGGTTATTAAGACAAGACTTATTTTTTTTTATAAATCTAATAAACTGTCATACTGAAGTCAACTCACAGCTCAAAGATATATGTCAAATGCACCCTATAAATGTATTGAATTCATACTTTAAATAGTACCAAAAAATCAAGTAGAAGCAAATTGCTCTTCAAAATGGTGTTGTAAACTAATATAAATGTTGCAAAAAGCGGCATAACTCAATAAACATTTTCTGAAAATATCATTGAGGCCGCATACGAGAATTGATGGAAAAATAAAACATAATGAAAGAATCAAATTAAATTAAAAATATCCTGTTAAAATTTTAACATTCAAAGAAAGAAACGCATTGAAGATATTGCCAGTTTAATCATTTCTTACTATTATTTTCAGTTTTTCTGTTTTGATATTTTCAACATAATATCATTATATTTTTTTACAGTTTCTAATTACTTAGTAACACATATTTTTGGGGCGCATTACATTTGCATTTGCGGATTAAAAATTTTCACGTTTGCGTGCAGCTTTTTATTACATTTGCGCGCGTTCATTTTACAGGTAATACAGGTCTATATAAAGATAATTTATGATAAATATGTCAATAGTTTATTTACGATAGACTTACATTTGTTTGTACATGTATAAATCCATTGTTAATGTTCATTTTGAACATATTTATCATTTTAAATTATATCTTTTTCATATTGAATCGTTAAAAGAAATATATTTAGTAATCGCTTAAGGCATTCCGGTAATATTGCATTCTGTTTCTGTATCAGAGGGCTTGATACACGAGCAGTAACTGTTGTAAGTAGAAGTGAGGAAGAGAAAACAGATTATCTGATGGAACAATTCCGAAAATACCAGAATGGAGAAGAGGACATGTTTCACTTTCTTAAAGAGATGGGCCTCAAATATACTTCGCGCAAATATAATGGTAGTGGGGGCAAATGCAATTGCACAGCATACAACGAATCTAAAAGCAATTTATGACTTCTAATTAAATTTGTTGTCACGATGGACAGAGGAAGTTCAGGAGTTGCAACATTCGTTTGAGTAGAAATTCATTATTCATAAACGGAAATTTAAAACTGGAAAATAACATCAATCTCGCCACTACCGCAGTGGTTGCTACTTGCCGGATTGTAGTAATCTTGCGGACGGGTAGTCCATGAGGCAACGATCTTTCATCTTTATTTGCGCGAAGGGAGTTAATTATTTTTCTGGACAAACATTTTTTTCGGTTTAAATCATAATATAAAGTCATCAATAGCATACAAGAACAAGTATCTGTTTATTAAAACAAATGTTGTACTTATTTTCCTTCAAATTAATTCTCAATAGCAACAAACTATTTTTTTCACTACTTTTCTGCAACAATTTTCTTTTTTTCGAGAAATTAAGAATCGAACAATTTAATGAAAAGAAAAACAACCAACCCCCCCCCCCCCCCTTTTAAAAAAGAAAAAAAAGATGGATAGACGGTGGCTAACCATTGTAATATAACTTTAGTTTTATCAAAATAACACAGTTTATGAAAAAGAATT